AATCCAATCCGGAATAAACCTCATTGTTTTAATACAATGAAATGACGTCTTTATGAAACTAACAGCCTTTCTAGCGGCTTCGGGAGGCTGTCCATGAAAAGACACTGACATGCTCACGAATACATTTAGACTTGTTGATTCCAAGCAGATGTCACATTTATCTTAGTTTTTCCAGTTTTTTTTCCAGAGCTTCCACCGAGTACGTGGCTGTTATTAATAACACTTCTTAACCTTCACCATCATCACCATCACCATCATCATCATCATCATCATCCACTTCCAGCCCCACTGGATTCCAACCGGCGGTCTCTGGAGGCCTGGGTGGCATTGTTGCGGCCGCGCAGTTTATTAGCTAATCGACAAGACAGTGCCAGATCATGGCGCTCATGAATATCAAGGCGGAATGGGAACCAGGACGCGAGCGTTCGTTAGGAGTGTTACGGCCCTCTTGCTCTCTCTACATCTTCAGAACACACAAAGAGTTCAAATGGGAACTCCCAAGCGCTTCCAGCTGGCAACACTTTGGGATAATGATGCTGGATTCCACACAAAATGAAGGGTCTAAATACCACCAGAGAGGTACCTGAACCCCCCCCCCCCCCCCCCCTCCTCAATGCACAGACACGTATGTGAGAAACACGCACGTACTCAAGTAATCTCTTTTTTTTCAGCCTCCGGGTGGGTTCGTCGCTCTTTCTCTACACGCACACGGAGAGCGGTGGGGGGTGGGGGGGGACGCCACTTTCCCACCGTCATTCTGGACCGTCACTGCTGCCGAATGTGAGCAGCGAACCCAGAAATAATCCCACATCAAGTCAACACACACACACACACACACACACATGTACACACTGCCGGACCACATCCTCCGAGTCCTCAGGACTGCAGATTGGGTTACTGCAGATTCCTGCTGCGGCCTCAAGGTATCCTCATGTAAGACGTGTCCCCGGTTGAGTCATCAGCGTGAGCTGGGAAGAGACCACCTTCCGTGGTGAGACGTCAGAGTGATGGATGGGACAATAATACCGGCAGAAGAGCTATTGATAGCTCTCTTTCCTTAATGTTGACATGCTGACACCGCACACCCCAAGCCATGGCTGTGTGTGTGTGTGTGTGTGTGTGTGTGTGTGTGTGTGTGGACATGCCAGTATTACGCCCATTAATATCTCTTCCGTTCCCGCTCAGGGGCCTTTGAAGTGGAGTGGCAGCTGAGCCGCCGCCTGAGTGAGTGAGTGTGTGAGAGGATGTGTACAACAACGCCAACGCGCCGTCCCGACTTGAGATGAGTTGGCGGAGGGGAAAGTAAACAGACGGGGGTCCCCGAGCGGCTGTCGTTGCAAACGGGGGGGGGGGGGGGGGGGGGGGGGGGTGCTGAGAGGGGCTCAAGCTGTTTATTTTTACACGGGACCTCAGTGTCGTTTGAAGTGCCCCCCCCCCCCCCCCCCCGTGCTCTCTCTATCTCGCTGTCTTTTCACTTCCTTTTTCCATTTCCTTCCCGACCCCGTGACCCCACTAGTGATGGGAAGTTCGTATCTTTTTACCGACTCGGTTCTTTGAAACTCGTTCAGTGAAATGAGGGAATCTTTCTTCGAGTCATTCGTTGACAGGGGGGGGGGGTGGTAAGATAAATTCACCTCCCGACCGTGTCTCCGGGTCAATGATGCGTTCATTGGGCCTATGCAAGTCCCGATGCGTGGCCACGAGAAAATGAACTAATCTTTTTTTTTGGAGAGGACTCTTCTTGTAAGGATTCGTTCAAAATGAACGAATCGTTCACGAACGACACATCACTATTACCCCCCCCCCCCCCCCCCCCTCACCCCCTGTGGGATTGTTGCCAGCAGCAACTAATTATCTGCCAGTTGGCTTCCGCCATGTTTGGCCCACTTGTGTGTCATAGGGTCTCGGTGCCGAGCTGAAGGGCAGCGGCAGGGCGCTGCAGGACGGGGGAGGACAGCCCCGTGGGAGTCGGGGTTTGGGTTTGTGCGTTAATATTCTTGTTACGGGGAGTTCGGCACATTTGGAAATGAGAGTGAAAGAGGAGAAAACAAACAGGCTGATTCCAACACGCTACATGCAAATGTCATGTATTAAGTTCACCACGTGTCAACGACGCCTCTCCTGTCGGCTGGACAGCGGACATGCTCGACAATGTGTGGAAAAACGAATCAATAAATCAATCTAATTAAATGTTCATAATTAAATTAAATTTAATCCCATTTTAAATGTTATATATGTCATGCATGTTGTTACAAATGCTGATTTCTCATAATATTTGCACATATGACCAACTTTCTTCTTGCGTGAGAGGAAGATACGTAACATCCGGTTGTAAATTCCGTGACGGCCAAAAACGGCTAAATATTTAAACTTCGGACGACCGTATAGCCGGTATCCTCCTATCTGCCCCCCCCCCCCCGGAAATGAAGCCACGTGGATGCATCGTTACCGGGAGAAACAAATGCAACAGTTGTTTGCAACAACGTGAGTTTAAGTGTTCCAGGTTACAAAGCGCGCGGTGGATCCCGCGTCATAAAGCGGCACGCGCTTTACGCGCTCTCAGACACGAGATGGCGCCACTGCATCGCGCTGACCCCCCCCCCCCAGACACGCACACTCCCACACACACACACACACACACACACACACACACACACGCACACTGCCCCCCCCCCTCACCACCGCCCCCCAGGTGCGCGTCTGTCCTCGCGCCCAGCAGCAAGGGTAACAGGACCTCGGAGGGAGGAAAGAGGTTCGTCTGCAGGGTGTCCCCCGCAGGGAACCCGGCGCGCAGACCCTCGCGCGCTCACACCACTTGACGCTTGTTTTGTCAGACAAAATTCAGCAGACTGATCCAGGAGCAGCAAGTAAAGGCCCGAGAGAAGCTGCACCCCCCCCCCCCCCCATCCCTCCCTCCCCCCGGCACCAAGTGAGTCCCGCTTTCTTTCATCATGTCTTTAATGCAGTTTAATCTGCCCCGGCTGTAATTGGAGAGGTAATCTCACTAGATCAGCGGCTGGCTGGCGCGGGTCCTCTGTTTGTTTGAGATGCGTCAAAAGGTGTGGAAGGTGTGGTGAACGCGCACTGTGCGTTTATGATAGAAGCAGATGAGCGGACAGAAGAATGTTTCATTATTTTGTTACTGAACTAAAGATCCGCAGTATTTTTGTTCAGACGCTATTGGACCAAATGACTGAAAGCCTCTGGTGACTCTTCCATTGTTCTTGTCACTAATCCCCCGTGTTTTAAAGGGCGTTTTAACTGAAAACATATAGAGCGAATTACATTTTTTTAAGTATAGTTTGTTGCATCACACTAAAAAATATCTCAAAAAATGCAAAAAGAAAATACATTATAAAACTATCTGAATCCCATGGAAATACAATTTGGAGTGTGATTCTCCCGAGAAAAGGAGAATTTCAAACCGGACAAATGAGAGAATAAAACGGGATAATAAACCCAACAATGGCACCTTTACAGTAAAGGGGGGGTGGGGTTATAGAATGCACATAAAAATGTGGGGAAAGTAATTGGATCAAATCTGAGCCAGAGTCAGAAGAACTAGAGACAAAAATAAACAGAAGAACATTAGTGACGTTTTGACGTTGGCGGTGATGCTGCAGTTCTTTGCCGTATCTCACAGCATCGCTCCCCCTGGAGTGTCACGTATTTGGGCTCCAGACTGATTAAATTTAATTAGTTTCAGCCTGCCCCGGATGAAGCTGGCACCACGTCTCCCTTTGTGTTTGAACCCATTTAATCGGCGCTGTCTTCTTTTTGTTTGATTTCTGTCCCTTTGCCTCCCTGACGCCTTCAGTTAGTATTGGCTGCAGGTGTGTCCCATAACGCAGGTACCCTCACACACCAAAGGGGTTACTGCTTTGTATCCTCGATTATCTGCAGCCTCGAATACGTTTCTAAACGGTCTTTGTTTTGAGTTGGTCCCGGGCCAAGCCGGGCCGAGCCGGGCCGAGCCGGGCTGTTAGCCCCAGAGGATGGTGCGGCAAATACAGGAGGAATGTTGATCAGCTTACAGCGGAGCCGGGAGGTGATCGGGGTTTGATCGGCCGTGATGCTGGAATAATAAAACGCGCTCCTCCTCCGATGTCCTCATACCTTGTATAGTGTCACTAACCGGGTTCACCGGGTCTTACATGAAATGTAAAACGTCTCCGGGTGAACCCGTGCGCTTTTACGCACGCTCCCCTGTTATGACCTCCGATAGTGGACACTATGTCAAACCTGCACCCCGAGAGAGAGAGAGAGAGAGGCACACACCCACGTGAAGGCTGTTAATTAGGAAATGTGCTGCTTTTATGGCCATGGGCCATATTTTCTGTGCCAAGATGCCCCCCCCCCCCCCCCCCCGCACAATCAAAAACACGGGGCAAAATGGAAATACAAAAATATATTTAAATCGATGCTGTACTTTTATCATTACACATTAATAAAAACCATTTAAACATGTTTGCTGCCTTGGCGCGCAGGCAGTCCGCTAATAAACCCAACATGTAACGCACTATTATTACTATTATGAATGACAACATTCTGCATTCTGTTGCTTCTGGGGGCCCCAGAGCCCCTTTCGGGCTTCTCTTCTTCAACAGGTTCACCGCGGTGTTCTCATTACGACCTCCATATGGCTGCCCGTGAACAAAGCGAGCCGTGGGGCATTCGGAGCAGGCAGCGCGGTGAGAATCAGTCCGTAAAGCGGCGGAGGTATTTGTTGTAAAAAGTGAGAGTGAGCTGAGTTGTCGGGAGGAAGGAAAAAACAATCTTGGGGCGAGAAAAGTCTTCACGTTCCTTCGGCGCGTTGTTAAGTAAATTATACGCGTCGCCGCGTTAAAGGTAAAATGACACTTAAATGAGCAAAACCCAGAGCGCGGTGGAATATTTAGACACCTCTCTCTCTCCCTCCCTCCCTCCCTCTTCCCCCCCCCTCTCTCTCTCTCTCTCTCTCTCTCTCGCGCGCGCGCGCACATTGCCTGTTTGGGGGAATCTGGGTTTGATTGTAACGGGGAGTAGCCCACCCCGGGCTCGCTTTACCACCTATGGATGCGCAGGACGCCTTTCACTTGCTTCGGGCTTTGGGTGCGGGCGCAGTGGTGCAGCTCCTCTCGGCTGACGCGTTTCTCTTTCATATTTGAACCAAACACGAGACACTTCGTCGTTTGGAGACGATTCCCTTCCGCCGCAGGACAAATAGGTTCACGTGTGTGGATCTTTGGGTGGGGGGTGGGGGGGGGGCGTCCTTTTTTCCCCCCCAATTTTAAAGACCGCAACAGCCACGACTTGACACCCGGGTAAGTGTGTGATTTACGGTTCGTTGTGCCAGTCCATATATTTCTTTTTACGCACCACTTATTGTCTTAGGAAAGACCCCGCTGACTCACAACGCTCGATGTAACCGGTCGTTCGTGTCGTTTGTTTTTAGATAAAAGACAATTACTGGCTTTACTGAACGTCGTTGTAGACCGCAGATGTGACTCCAGGTGTTCCGGATCAGCGGGCGCGCGCTGGATCGCAGTGGCGGGTGACAGGTGTCCGCCTCCCGGGTTCACAGCTGGCCCGTGGGTCGCGAGGAATTGAGGGATTTAATACGAGGTGCGAGAGGTGGACTATACAGAACCCGCGAGCTTTAATGGAGACTTGGAGTCAGAACCGAGCGCAGACTCCAAGGCAAAGCGGCGCACCCTGGTCTCCAAAAGACGTGTTTATTATCATTATCATCGTTATTATTTACTTTAACGGGACCTGCAGATTAAAATAAAAAACTTTTGGTTATAAAAACATGATTTTTTTGAAGGTTTTGTTGAGCAAGTATATGTCAAGTCAGCATTAAGCCGTCTGTGGTCAAAGTCGCGGTGAGGAGGCTCTCCTCTCTCAGCTCACACTCTCTGCAGCGAGGCCGGAAAAGTGAAAGCAGGTTGCTTATCTTAACTGCTTCAATAGACTTAAAGTATGCCTCCATTGCTCACCCAGAGGGTGTCAGCCACTTGACCTACTTCTCCCCCACCAATGACTGGAATCAGTCCACGAGGAAGGCCTCTGGATCCTCACCGCTCACTGAGGTCGGAGAGAATGTCTCCAAACCGGGCGACTCGTCGAATCGATGATTAGCATTCGACCGCATCACACCTGCTTCTGTCAATAAGGCGGCGAGCGAGGTCGGGGCCCGGGACCAGCCGAGGGCACATGATCTGAAAGCTAATCCAAGGCCACATCGTGCAGATTTTACTCACTGCTGACAGTGTGTGTGTGTGTGTGTGTGCACTTGAGTCATGGTACTTATGAACCCTAGAGAAAAGCCGGTAGATTGAGATGAAGGAGGCTGCAGTAACACAAGGTTCCTTCGAGCTCTTGGCTCCGTCCACCTGAGCGAGGAAAGTCAACACATCCAATGTCTTCTTCTCTTTGACGGTGCAAAGTAATCTCTCTTTCTGCCTCTCCTTCCCGTTCTGTTTTTGCTGGGTTTCCATCCCCTCTTTAAGTCAATCTTCTGTCATTTTTAACAAATGAGCTCAATAATGAGCTCTGTTCATGACCCTGCAGGGGAATCAATGACATCAGAATGATCGCCTCTCATAATACAGATGTTTCTCTGGAGCAACATCAGGCTCTGGAAACTCACTCCCCTGCAAATATGAAGCTATTTTTCTTGAACTGCAGTCTAACGTTGTGATTTTGCCTGTAGAAATTGGATGATCTTTCCCTCCTGCGGGATTTATATGATTTTATAAATCCTGGATGAGCAGCCAGTGATTAATTCCCCACGTACACATGTGAATCGTCTCCCCCAAAGAGGTGCAAAGGCTGTCTTACTTACTGAAGTGTCCGTGTGCGTGCTCTTCAAGTGACAAATTGGGTGTGTGCGCGCTTGTGTCTCCTGTTAAAATACCTGTCAGTCGTCAGCGTGACACCCGACGCGTCTCACACCGCGTGAAGAGGATCCGCGCGCTTCGTCCCACCGATCCCCGCACCCCTGAATGTGTCAGCCACACATTTCTTCCAGATGCATAGTAATGTGTGTGTGTGTGTGTGTGTGTGTGGTCCACGAGTGTGTGTCTGTCCCCACTCATCGGTGCCCTTTCCTGACCTCGGTGCACAGTAGATGTCTTCTGTAATTGGTGGCAAAGTCGGTGTGGGGTCCTTTGGATGGGAGCAACGCACCGATTGCACCAAAGGATCAGGGCTTAAGGCCGAAAGGATTGAGGCAAATTCCCATTGTGACTCCGCGGGGGGGTCGGGGGGGCGGGACTCTGTATATTTGTGCCCGAAGCTAAAAAAAAAAATACGTGACCAAAGCGTTATCACATCATAAAACGCATTTATTTCGTGAAGGTTTTTGAGAGTCTCGGACAGATGCCGGCCTGACCTCTGACCTTTTTAGGTATTTGAAAGGTCACCGTTGAGGTGGAAGAAAGAGTGTTTTTCTGGTGAGCCTCTGGCAGCCTTCACGATGCGCCTCGCCGTGCGAGTGACGACATCGTTGAGATTAAAAAGCAGAGGGGAGGAGCCTGTGTTTGTCCGTCAACAACGTGCGCGTGTGTGTGTGTGTGTGTGTTCGAGTGTGACACACGCAGCCGTGCGAGTGTTCCCGAGCACTTAATAAAATGATTTGTGGGTTTTCTTTTCGTGAGTTCAAAGCGGGTCCTCGCTGTCGGCTGTGGGGTAGAGGTTGCTCTTGTGCAATGGAAAAAAAAAAAAAAAGAAAAGAAGAGAGACTGTTTTCCCTACACGGGGGCTTTTTTGGGGGGGGGGGAAACCGCGGCTTTGCCTACCGCAGCCGGCCTTCAAAGGGCTTTGAAGCAGCGCTCACCTCTCCTCTCCATCCATTCCCAACCAGCTACTTCCCCTCGTATCCACCTCACCTGCCGGGTCCTTTTCCTCTCGCATGTGGAGGAACGTGCACGTCCGAGCTCTCGTCCCTCTTCTTCCAGTTCCATCAACGTGTCAAGCTAAACATCAGAGTGCAACAGTTTCTTTTCAAGTTCGCAGACGCATTCTTCAATTTGATTTGGAAATGAGTCGTTTTGCGGGATGTAGCAGTTCCGGTAGTTTGATTTACTGCCGTTAATCTGGCGCATCCTCGGCGACGCGTTTGTCTCCACTCACGGAGCTGCGGCAGTTTATCTTCGCTGCAGAAAACACAACACACGCAATCCTCCTCACTCTGGATGTCCTGTCTTTTCTTGTTTCTCACAAATTAACCCTGCCTAACCCACAATCTGAGTCACGGTTTCGGGCCTGCTCATGCACCCCCCCCCCCTCCCCCCCTCCACCACGCCTCCCTTTTTTCCCCTTAAAAAACACTGAACATCAACAGAAAATACACGAGTTGTCCGATCAGCACTTGTCTTCCTGCCTGAAGGGCCGAGCGGTGAACGTGACCCCCGCGTCCCAGCTCCTCTCCTCCCGCTGGGTTCTGGATCGGGCCGTGTTGATTCAAAGCGCCCCGCCGGTTGGACTCCGGGCGCCGGCCCGACGTGGGCTCGGCCACAGACGCCGCTGCATTCCTCCGCTGGGCGTTTTGCTTTTGTCCCCACGGTGTCTCTTTCTGCCAGAGGTTATTTCATGCGTGTGGTTTATGGCGCTTTCTCTCCTCCTGCTTTGTGATTAGCCTCAAGAGCAGAACCGGAGATATATTATCGCAGTATTGCTGACAGGTGGCCGGCGTAGTTCGGCAGCATTTTGAAGTGACTGTGAAGCGTTTTTTGAAGGTTGCGATAAGAGTAAAGCGACACGAGCGACGGAGGCTTGCAAACGGAAACCCGCCAGAGACACGTTTTTAAATGCTGCTTCTCTCGGCTCACGTCAGCGGGGAGAGTTGACCCCCATCCTGCCCCTCGGCCCTCCCCTCTCCCCACCCTCCTCGATCCCTAATGAACGCCAGCGAGGAACTCGCCCCCTCACACCCCCCCACACACACAGGCTTACACAAACAGCAGGACGGCCAAAGAGGCGATCATCAAGTCGCTCATTTCTGACCCCTGTTACCTGAGGCCTGTCAGTCATGTTGATCCACCTGGCCAGCTTTATTTAAGTATTACGTGTGTGTGTGTGTGTGTGTGTGTGTGGACACAGATGGCGATAAGTGGTGAAAAGAATTATTCAAATAATCAAAGTGCCAATTAACAGAAATTAACCTTTAAAACTTTATTAATGTTATTTATTAAGAATAAATCATGATGGGTGGTGGGGAAAGGGGGGCGGCCTTTCGCGCCACTCCCCTTTCTAATTTGTTTTCATACGAGGATATTTTTTATATGACAATGAGATGGAGGGTGGTCCCGCTGTTGGCTTATTAAAAACTTCTTCCGCGGTTGTGGCCGGCCGCTATTAGCCCCAACAGGGATTCTTGTACGGCGGCTTGGGGGGACAGCGGGAACCCGTTTTGGGCTTCAGCTTGTGGTCATTCAAGAGACCTCCTTTCACTCCCCGCCTTCAGCGGGGGGGGGGGGGGCACCGCGTGAAAAAGCTCCCACTCGGGAAAGGCTAAGTGGCTCAGCTGTCCAGCCCCCCCTCGCCTCCCATGGCGCCCCCCCTCTTCTCTGCTCCCAAGCCAAATAACGCCTCTCAGCGACTTCTGTTTTCCTAATCTGTGAACTCTTGACAGCGGCGCCCACGCTTGAAAGAGAGACAACTCAACATGAGATGATCTCCCGGTGACGGGGAGAAGCTGAGAAAACGTTGGGGCGGAACCGCCGGACCACCCTGTCCTCCCCCCCCCGCCTTTCTCTGTCTCTCTGCCTCTTCCCCGTGTCTCCTTTTTTACTCCGCACCCACCCAATTCATCATGATTTCCTCTCCTTCCGCCCGCCGTCCTCCACCTTCTCTTGGGCTCGTCGCCGTGTTATGAGGACTGAGTGGTCTTTGTGGCCGGCAACGAGCTTCTCGTGCAGAGCTCTTCCACTCTGAAAGTCCCGTATTGTTTATCGCATTACCGCATACTTTGCTATAACGGGCAAACGATTTTAACGCCGCGGTAGCCGAGCCGCTGAGGACCGCGGCGCGTCGCCTCATTAATCCACAGAGGAATGTCGACGGCGGTGAATCGGCTCGCGCTGTTGGTATTTGTCGTCACACTCGGCGGCTTCGCTGCTGCGGGGACCGGGTTTGGGCCGGGCGATATAGACCAAAAGTCATATCCCGGTATATTTCGGTTGGATATCGATATGCGGTATGAATCCCGATATTTTCTCCACATTAACGGGAAGAAAACCTGAACGCAAATGTCAAAGCAAAGTCAAAGCCAAATATGACATTAGTCGTTTAGATTTGAGGTGCTTCCACCCCTGGCTGTAACCTGTGTTTGGCACTCCCTACATATAATGTTATTTTGTTTCTCATCGGATACTTTAAATCCGAACCATCTCCAAATTACTGAGCCACTGCCACCGAAATTGTCTAATTCTATATCCCATTAAAAAAATATATCGATATATTCGTTTATAGCGATATATCGCCCCCGGCCCTAGACCGGGTGTCTATCAACGCACCATATGGCAGTGTGCTCCTTACGTGATCTAAATGTGGACACGAGAGCAGCACACATGGAAATGAAAGTTGATGTCATTCCAACGTGTCTTGCGATAACGGGGATCAACGGCGCGTCTTTGGGAGGAACCGTGGGAGCATTTGGAAAATGCATTATTTGCTTTGGCGCTTTAACGCGAAGATCAAAACCTCCCGCACGTTTTGCACGCTCGGCGCGAATCGGGCATTCCTGTGAGTTCCTCGTTCTCACTCGATGCCGAATGTCAAGGACGTAACCGATTGACGAAAAGGTCAGCCGGCCGCAGCCCGGCCGCGCTCGAGGATCCCGGGAGGATTTCGTGGTGCTGGCTCACGTCCTTTTGGCCCGGCGCTGCTGGACTGTCTCCGGCGAGCGTCAACACTCGCTCACGAGGGGGGGTGAAAAAAGAGAGCGGAATGAAACAGCCCCGCCGCTGCTCTCTCTCCCTCTGTTTAACCTACATGCTCATCTGCCAGGCGCGCCTGACAGCACCAGACCCTTGGAAGAATCTCCCAGCAGGCCCGGCGGCACGCGGGCCCGCACCATATTTAGTCATCCAAAGTCCAGGCGCAGACCCGACGCAGTCCTCCACCTTAATCTGCCTCCCCTCTCCATCCCTCCCCCTCTCGTATTTTACTTTCCCTTCCTCCATCTCTGTCACTTTCCCCCCTCTCTCTCCCCGACTGCTTTCATTCATATCTGTCCTCGCTCGCCCTCCCTCACTTCTGCTTTATCGCTCGCTGTTCTTATCTTCCCAACTTCTTTCCTTGTTTATCCCCTTTTTTTCAGTCCCATAACTCTCTCAAGTAGTTCCCTGCTTTCACACAACATCAAATACTAAGTCTGAATAATTCCCCCTCCGTCTTTTTCCTTTTTCTCCCCTCACCTGTCATAATTTCCTCCCCCCTCCCCCCTGCCCCCCTCCTCCTCTCAGAGCCTCCCCACTGCCTCTTTCCTTGGATGAGCATGCTGCTGATGGGAGCCGGGATGCTAATGAGTTGCTAATTCCATCAGCCGTCTCTCCGAGCCCTCGATCCCCAGTGGGTGTCGGGGGGGGCGGTGGCCTTTTGATGGAGTGCCCGGGCCGATGAACCCCCCCCTCCTGCGTGCCCACTTTAACCTCCTCGTCCGTGTCATTGATCAACGTCCCGACCCGTCCTGGCCCGGCCCGCTCTCGCTCCAATCGTCTATGAGCTGCTGCCCCCCCCTTTCCCTGCCATCCATTTTTCATATGTTAAATATTGTATAAGCGGGGGGATTTTCATGTTTCCGATCTTCGCTTCCTCCAAGTGGCTTCCTCAGAGCGCGACACGACGGGAAGCATACACTTTGTTATCCCAACACACTTCCATATGGGGGAGAGTATGAATGGACGTTTTACATTGTGAGTAGTGTCTGGACTGACAAGCCGTTGTACTTCCAGACATTTTTCCTCCCTCGCTGTCTTCTCTGCTCAGTCCCTCACGCCATCTTTCTCCAACGGCCAATCCGTGCTTCAGTAGGGGGCCATGCAGCCGGGTTCAGGCACTCGGGCACAGAGGAGCGCTCCTGTTTTCCAGGCCACTGGGCCCTCTTTTTGATGGCGGCTGGTTCAGGACCCCCCCCCCCCCCTCACATGAGAAAAGAAGAAGAAAAACTTTTGTTTTCCCGACTCCTCTTAAATCCGCCTTCCCCGCTCGACTGAAGTGGATACAGAGGCGGCCTTTTGTTCTATCGAGATGAAGAGGGATGCTGTAGTACGAGAGGGAGAGGGGGGGGGGGGGGGGGTGAGGGTAAAAGGAGGTGGGTGGGATTCATTGTCATTTGATAAATACCTTCCACGGAGGGTCGAGGGTGCCTTCTCACCCCCTCGGCTGTCTGTTTTGAAACGGGGCTCTTCTGGATTTGACGCCCAGGGAAGTAAAAAGGGGATTAGGGAAGGAAAAGCCTTCGGCTATAAACATCTCTTTCTCTGTCCCCTTCTTGGACCCAAGGCCCCCCCCCACCCGCCCCCTTTTTTCTCTTTTGGGCCGAGAGGCCCCTCGTCTAGCTGTGAGTCTATGAATGATGTCATCCAGGTACCGATGGCTTGAATGGAGTCTCATGCCCTCAGTTATTCTAATGTCTAGAATAATCCTCACTTTTTTTGGGGGGGGGGGGATTCTCCGGTTCACTGAATGAACATAATGCCGCCTTCTGCAGGGTCTCCGCTGTGTAACAATACTGTTGCTCTGGTTGATTTAATGTCAAATTCCATGCAAAAATCAGGGAGAATGAAGAAACAGTCCCCGTCTTTCCCGACACTCTCTTAAAGAAGAGGTTTTGCGGGGGGGGGGGGTCACACACGGCCCACTGCTTTGCAGCACGGCCGCGGATTACAAGGTGACTTCTGCCGCGCTGCTCGAGCACGACCGCAAGGCTCGGCCGGTTCTGACCAGGATGGAAGCACTGAATGGGAGGCCGGCATTAAGATTCAGGAAGCAGTCACTTGTAGCCACTAATGTCTCTCTTTAAATGGTCACATCCTTTCTCTTGGGGCCCAACTGTCTAACTGTCGACAGGCTTTTAGGCTTTTAGACAGCCTTCACTTGCGATTGTACAGCACAGAGGATAGAGTGACACGGGCAAGTAGAATTCCGTTTTTTGAAGATGCACACTTGTTTTTGTACAGTAGAAAACAGCTCGGCATCACTTTCTGTTTCATGCCCTATTATGGTAAAAGTTTGACATTGACCTTTTGTGTTTGCGTCTCTCTCACAGGAAGGACTCCGGTCAGCCTGAAGCGGAGGGTCACTGAGGGTCACCTCTTCTTCCATTGACTCCCAATTGCACGCACGCAGAGTAACACAGATAGACACGTCTCCACGGCGACACAATCGGCTTCACACCCACGCACGCAGACCCTTGGATACACACACACTCACGCACGCAGACCCTTGGATACACACACACTCACGCACGCAGACCCTTGGATACACACACACACACGCACGCAGGGCCTTTCGAGCAGGATGAGGGATCCCTGGAGGTGCCTGCTGGGCCTGTGCCTCCTGGTTTGCGCCGTGTCCAGCCACGGCCCCGCCAACCCCTTCGCGGGGCAGCAGACCCCGGTCGACCCTTGCTACGACGACGCGGGCGCGGCCCGCCGCTGCATCCCCGACTTCATCAACGCGGCCTTCGGCAAGGAGATGGCGGTCTCCAGCGCGTGCGGCCGGCCCCCGTCCCGCTCCTGCAGCGTGGTGGAGCGCGGCGACGATCGGCCCTCCGTGCGCACGTGCCAAATCTGCGACGCGACGGACCCTCGCCGCGCCCACCCCGCCTCCTACCTCACGGACCACAACTCGGCACACAACCTCACCTGCTGGCAGTCGGAGAACCTGAACAGCTCGCCGCACAACGTGACCCTCACCCTGTCGCTCGGGAAAAAGTTTGAGATCACCTACGTCAGCCTGCAGTTCTGCTCCCCGCGGCCCGAGTCCCTGGCCATCCACAAGAGCATGGACTACGGCAAGACGTGGGTGCCCTACCAGTTCTACTCCTCGCAGTGCCGCCGCATGTACAATCGGCCCAACAGAGCGGCCATTACCAAGCAGAACGAGCAGGAGGCCCTCTGCACGGACGGCCACACTGACCCTTACCCGCTGTCCGGGGGCCTCATTGCTTTCAGCACCCTGGACGGACGGCCCTCGAGCAAAGACTTCGACAACAGCCCCGTCCTGCAGGACTGGGTGACCGTCACGGACATCCGCGTGGTCTTCAGCCGGCCGCAGCTGCCCCGGGAGCTGGGGCTGGGGGCCGGAGGCAACGGCGGGGGAAGGGACGACGACGACCCCGCAGCGGCGGCGGCGACGACGACGCTGCCGACTTACTTCTACGCGGTAGGAGACTTCCAGGTGGGCGGGAGGTGTAAGTGCAACGGACACGGCGCCCGCTGTCTGAAAGACAAAGAAGGCAAACTGGTGTGCGACTGCAAGCACAACACGGAGGGACCCGAGTGCGACCGCTGCAAGCCCTTCCACTACGACCGGCCGTGGCAGAGGGCCAACGCCCGCGAGGCCAATGAGTGTCTGCGTAAGTCTCTCCTTCCTCAGTCAGTGGCATTTGGGACATGTCGTTTTTTAGCAACGCAGACATTTCCTAAAAACTTAAAATGCAGCACGAGGACGCACAACAGCGGCGTTCCTTTCTGTGTTGCATCGGTGATGATGAAAAATCATAGAAGTGAGAAGTTGAATTTTACGCTGCAGGTCAGAGCCGCGTCATTAGTGAATTATCCTTTTAGCTTTTTACATTACATTACGTGTCATTTAGCTGACGCTTTTATCCAAAGCAACTTACAATATGTGCATTCAACCATAAGGGTACAAACTAAGAAGAACAACAAACAAGAATAAGCCAATTTACAGTTTGCTATAGATAAGAGCCGTTATAAGTACAATTTAAGTGCTACAATGTGTTAGTCTTCACCGGTAGCCACCGGTAGCCAGTGAAGAGAGCGGAGGAGTGTGGGAGAATTTCGAGGAAACCCGCTCTTCCTTCAGCTGCACAATTAGCTCAACGTGTGCACGGAAACGAGAAATGATTTCAAAATAAAAGTAGTTTACGTCACGTAACGTAAAACAATTCAAATTCATGAACATTCACGCGGGGGACGCAGAGGCGATTTAAGTGTTTGACTGACACCGGGGTAATTAGGAGTCTGGCCAGAACACACCGGAAAGGTTTGTGTTTGCACAGGTGGGGCCTTCTGGTAGCACGTAGTGCTCGAGCTCTCAAAACACGAGGCCCGCCCTTTTCCTCGCGTTTCCCACGAGCCCCGTTTATTTACCGTTGCTCTGCAGGGAAACAGCCCGAATCTTAACAAAATCATGATTTCTGGACTTGACTACGGGGGGAAAGAAAACCCCCTCTTTTTCACCAGCAAGTGTAAACAGTGGGCGACAACATCTCCGGCCATTGGCACAACGCTACGGCTTAGTCATCAAAGAGTGTCTGTTGGCAGTGTTTTCCTTCACCTCGAGACGCGCTCTGTAAAGTCCTTCAGACGCGCTCTGAAAGCTCGCCAAGCACAATCATTGCAATTTCTCTGGCAATTTTTGTTACACTACGAATGTAATCCATTTAGATTATCAGTCTTTAATGTGATATTTGGTGCCTGTTTCGTGTACAAATGTTTTCAGCAGGAACACGTTCTCTAATATGTGGCTGTGTCTCGGTCGTTCATTTAATCATTTGTATATTAGTATAAATAGAACCTAATTTGGGTCAATTTTGCTTGTCATAAAAATTTGTCGGAGTAGGAAAATAAAACCATTTCAGAAACCACTGTCCCCATTTTAACCTTTCCCTGTAATGAAATGAAATCACAACCGGAGGGGGGAAACAAAACAGGAGCGGAACATTGAAAAACGTGTTTTTCTTACATGTTAAAATTGCCCCGTGAGCTGGCATGAGATCATGTTTAGCATTAAAGAGTGACAGATCTGTTTAAGGGTGACGGAGCCGGAGGAGGAGGCCAACATTCCGAAACCTCTCCGGCCAACGCTGCCTTACTCTGGCTTCTCGTCCGTCCTCGACACCCTCACTCGCTCTCGGAGGCCCGAGCTCAGACCCTGCAGGCCGATGTCACCACATATTCACTCGTTATTGTCGAGGTTTTTAAAGTTTTGCTCCGGACGCGTGAGCTGTCACCCCCCCCCCCCCCTCCCCCCTTTCTTAATCTTTACCCCGCACCACACGAGCATGGCTTTTAACAGGCCGGTTTTACTTCTTTTTTTTTGCGTCTCACTAAATGTTTGACATGCGCCGCGATTGCTGTCGGCGCGCTCGGCCACCGTCTCCAGACACAAGCCATGCGCAGGCACGGCCCGTCCCGCCGCCAGCCGCCGCCTCCCTCGCTATGAATCCTGCCTCCCGACATCGGTTTACAAATCCCCGCTCTGGTCATCAGGCAGTCTGTTTGCATTGAGGGAGACATGATGGAAAAAAGCTCTGATGTCTCTGCCTGGAGTTTGAGGCGCGGGGCAACACGAGGAAACGGATGGACACGAGCTGGTTGGTTACTGGCGTGCGATGGAGCACCGGCGCCTCTGCCGGGACGGTCGAAGCTGCGATTGAATAAATACTTCTTTCCTTGTCCCCTTTGCCTCGTCCGGCCCTGCAGAGCGCCCGCGGCCTCGCGTTGCCAGACACCATCCATCCATCCCTGATGGAGCCGTCTGAGCGGGCCGTGCTCGCGGCGCTGGGCCCTGGGCACGATGCTATGCAGGCTGTTTGAATTTCCATTTGAGCTGATTTGCCAGAAATGCAGGTGAGCGGCGAGTCGCGGAGCCGGCTGTTTCCTGCTCCGCTGCCACATCTGGGTGCGGTGCGGGCTACTTTTTTTTTCCCAGTGGGATTTGACTAATTGAGTCCAGTGGGGGAATGAGTGATGGGGCATTCTGTTTTGAGACAAGAAGAGCGGTTTTCTTTCTCTCTATTACATCAAATCACCCAAACGTTGAGCGCTCACGCTCGACCCTCGTTCTGCAACCTGGAGGAAATGATTAAATATAGAATCACCTCTAAGAAGTTATCGCCTGTTATATGATCGCTGTTATTCCATCACCAGTGAGTGAGAAGCAGAACAGCCACGTCACAACCCTCTCAAACTGTTTTTCGGGGGCTCGTGGCTTTTTTTGGAGACAGTTAAGGGAAATTTGACAGTGCGTATCCAACAGTGTGTGTGTGTGTTTCACGGAAAAGGCCAGCAGCCGTCTGTGTTTTCTTTTTTGATTTCTCTCTCTCTTGTCATCTCCCATTTGACCTCGTTCTTTAACGTGTTGTAGGATCCCGGAGAGGAGCAGGATGTGTGTTGTTCTGTAACACAATGTTGTCGGGACTTTGTGAGGGCCAAGCCAACCTCACTGGATTGCGTTACGTTTCCACGTTGAACTGTGGCAATGACGAAAAATGGACGGCCGAGGATGAAAAAAAAGCCAGAGCGACCTTGATATCACATGTATGTGCCGTGTTCCCGATTTCACTAATTGACTTAAAAGACCCTCCGAACCAATACTTCCATTACCTACACCGGGCCACACAAACGAGCAGGCAACACACAACGTGTGTCGACAAAAAAGAAAGTCATTTTTAAAAAGAAACCTCCTGTGCTTTTAAACAATTACACAGCCGAGGAATGTTGCTCTAAAATCAACAGCCCTCTGAAATGATGCCCCTGGGGTAGTTAGCGTGAGACGCAGGGGCGAGGCCAACAAACATGAGCCGACTCAGCCAGCGGGGTTCAGTCCGTTTAATCGCTTCGTCCTGCAGCTTTTCGCTCGCTGCTTTTATTTCCTCTGTCAGAATGGCAACTTTGGCTCCCCGGCCGATCCGCAGAGGGATCCACGTTTCCCTCGTTCCACGAGGCTCTCTTGGCACGGCGAGAACCCAGCGAGACGAACGTCGAGGACCGCAGGGTGTCCAGTGACAGCGGCAATGTCCGCCGGTGGTCAAAGCTCTGGAGCTTCTTCGGGCGTCATGTGCGTTCGCCCCGAGAGCCGCGTGCGACCCAGTAGCGCCAAAGCAAACCGGCGGGGCGTCCCACCCGGCTCTCTCCCCTGCAGGACCCCCCCGTCAGTACACGTCTGTCGTATAGACATGGTTACTGAGTGTCTTTGCAGTAGACCCACTATTGTGTTTAGGTGTGGGTCCGAGGGCAAGACAAGCCCTAACGTTAGTATGGGTGAGTGAGTAGGATTGGTTCGACCGGGGCTGGGAAGCAAGGGAGCAGAGTAAGTTAAATATTTTCTTTTTGTATTGGCGACCATTGCCCTTTTGTAACATGTGACTGT